AGCGAGGACGCCGTGGGGCTCGGCTCTTGCCGCGCTCAGAGCCAGGCTGTGGCCGGGCCTCCCGCACGCCGCTCCCGCTACCCTCGACACAGTGAGTCCTGGGGTGTCGCTGCCAAAGCGCCTGGGCTGGGGGGGTGGGACAGGGAAGGGAGGCTGGGGACCGGCAGACTGGAGGGCACCAGCCAGCCCAGGGCAATGAAACCCAAGAGGGGTGGGGAGTGTCACAGACACCTGCTCCACTTCCCGGTCATCTGACACCTCTGCCAGGCTGAGCAGCATGTGACCCTGAGCGCAGCCGGGCTCAGCGGACCGGCCACCTGCTGGCCCCAGCTCTGCTGGCTCCCTGGCTGGCCGCAGCTCAGCTGGGCCGGGTCCCGATCCCTCACAAAGCGGGGGCGGGGATGGAACGCTCCCTGATGGAGCCGGGAGAAGAGACGGGACGGGAAGATGTCCCGCCTCCGTGCCACGGGAGAGATGCAGCTCCCGGCAGCACGGCGCGCCTGGACGCAGGGGCGGCCCTCAGGGGCTCCCCATCGGACGGGAGGGCCAGAGCAAACGCACAGAAAACAGGGCTGCTCTGAGGGTGCAAGGAGGACCCCAGGAGGGCGGCGGGGAGACCGGGAAGGGCTGTGCTGGGGGCGTCAGAAATGCAGGTGCGGGGTGAGCCTTCCGCACATCTTCATCTCTGCGGGGCTGGGGTTTGAGGGCTCCTCTGCCGCACCACTAGTGACCAGGCGGTGACTGAGCAGGACGTGCAGGACAGGGACCGCTGCCCTGAGCGGCTCTCCCCGGTGACAACGAGGCATTCTCCAGGGGCCCGAAACGCAATCTGCACAGCACGGCACAGACACGGACACGGCCTCCACCAACGCAGCCGTGATTGCCCTCGGGCTGCGGCCCCTGCCTGGTGCCCAGCAGGAGTCACACTTAGTGCCACCAAAGCGGCCACTAACCATTCCTTCATCGTGCCCCACCCAGGAACCCGGCTTTACAGGGAAATGCACGAAGGAGTGTCCAGGGACAACAACGGTACAGCTGGGTCGCCAGCAGATGTTTCTTAATGTGATTAACAGCGTCCAGCCAACACAGGCAGGTTTTCTGAACCTTCCCCGAGGCCCCAAATGGCTCCTGCCTGTATCTGTCTCACATCCCCCTCCATGAACCCACCCAGGACACGCAGCACACGCCCGGGAGCAGCTCGCCTCCGTCTCCCCCTTCACAGCTTCAGAGTGGCCTCAGGAACCTCCATTCCGAGACCCCTTTCGATCTGGGAATCCAGGGCTCAGGCCCGACCTTGCTTTCCTTAGGAGTTTGGGTGAGGTCTCCAAAGTTCCTGGTTTCTTTAAGGTCCCAGAGTTTCCTTTGAAATCGCACCTCTGTTCTATAGCCTTGAAACACCTCCCCTGCTCTGACAGGGGACCCGTATCGACGGCGATGGGGCCGGCGTCCCACTCCTGAGCAACCTGCAGGGCACGCTCCCCAGGAGGATCCCGGCCCTGAAGGCAGCCGCCACCCCCGCCGGGTGCGGGGGGTCCCCATGTTCCCTGAGGCTCTCTCCCCAGTGGAACACCTGCAGGACAGAAACGGGTCCCTGCTCCGTCTGGTGGCCTGGGACGGCCACCGTGCCTCTAGGGACCCCACGCTCCTGTGTGGGACGGACACGCTACAGAGCGAGTCATGGGACGCGTCACCGCGGGACGGGCGCGGACCCTGTGGCCTGCCATCTGGGTAATAGGTGCCGACGCGGGTCCTGCTGCTACTCGGGCCGTTTCCCTCCACTGCGCTCTGGGGTGTCCCCTCGCACCCCTCCTCTGCTCAGTCAGGCTGACGAGCGTCTACACTGCCGGGCACTGAGCGGGGTCACCTTCTGATTCTGGAAACCAACTGCAGCACACGCTGTATAACGTCTATGACAAACACGGGTTACTTTCAGAATCGGGAAAAAGACTGTTACTTCAAACAGATGACAATGATTCAGAAAAAAATGATGAACGGTTTTTGAGTCCCCTGTAACCCTTGCACATGCCAGAGGAGGGTGTGCAATCCAGGGACAGGGGCGAGTCTGCTCTCCTAGGTGGAGGTGGCCACCTCTTCCCTTCTCTGTGCTCAAACTCCAGCACCTCACCCCACCCAACTCTGAGCTGTGGTTCCCAGACGTTGTGGACACCCGCCCAGCCACGCTGTCTTTGCCCCAAGACCCTGCCCCGCCCGGGGAGAAAGAGAATGACCTCTGGGAAGGGGCGAAGGCTGTGGTCTTGTCCGTAACGTGCCAGTCCACGTCTGCAAAACCAGCGAGCAAGATGCTAGCGTAACGTAGTCGGACTGGGACACCTGTTGTACCTCGGCGGTAGGTGAGTGGCTGTTTTCTCTCTTTTATAACAGAACTATCTTACAATTGCAAATTTTAAAACAAGAAGAAAAAGAAACAGGGAAAGGCTTGTTTACATGCAATAAGGGGAAAGGTAAAAAAATCAGAAATGATCCAAAATAAACAGCATTCTGGCGTTTTCCTCCCAGGATTCCGTGTTTGAACCCAGACGTGGGGACCGCCCGCAGGAGCTCGCGAATCTGGGGTGGGGGGCGCGGCACAGGAAACGCTGCCCCCGGCCCAGGCCGGCGACTCCCGTGCGTGGCCCAGCACCTCAGCTCAGGGATGAGGCTGGGAGCGGAGCGGCCCTGCCTGGCGCCCAGCTCTGCCAGAGAGAACCAGCCTCGGCAGGAGCTGCGCTGAGCGCCAGCCCCCGGGACCGGGGAGGGCGCCGTGGCGAAGGGGTGGGGAGGGGGGAGGCCCCCGGGGCCTTTCCTACTCTGAGCAAATGCTGCGTGTTCAAGACAACGCGTCCCCGTGGTGCACGCTGAGTGACGCCTGGAAGTCACATACGCATCAGGTACGCGGAGGAGTCGGTTTGTTTTCACGCCCAAGTGCCAGGAGCGGTTACGACTAAACTCTGCTCTTAGAAAACGTGAGAGCCTGAAAATGCAGTGGACAGGCTCCCACTCCCAGCTCCTCAAACGTGCCTTTAAAGACGTTTTCATATTGAGTTTCAAAACCACGTGACCCGCGATGACTGCTTCTCGGGGGGGCGTCTTTCGCAGGGCTGCTATGGCCAAGTGGGGAGTAAAGGACGGCCCTCACTGCGAGGCTTCCAGGCCAGCGGCGTGCCGCATCTGCACCTGAGCTGGCTGCCACCACCATGAGCCTCCTGTGCTGGCCGCTCACAGCACTGCCCCCACGCTGGTCCAGGGCTGGTCCAGGGCTGGTCCAGGGCCGGTCCAAGGCTGGTCCAGGGCCACGCAGCAAACACCCACCACCCACGGTGCCAACAAAAATGCCGAAACACCAGGAAGCGCTCGCCATCTTCCGACTGACCAACAGAAATCTGGTCACGGGGAAGCTAAGTGACTCCCCCCAACTTCTTGGGGCCCCTTCCCCGGGCATCATTCCTCAGGTGGGCAATCCCTAAGGGAGAGGGGCGCTTAAGGGACTGTCCAAGGACCTTGACCAGGCACTGTCACAGCTCTGCCACAACTGTCCTCGGTACCCACCAGTGGGACCCTAGAAGGTGGCACTGACCCAGGAACTACTCAGACCTTGCTGAGGGCCCCGCAGGTCAGCCAGGACTGTCCCTCCCGTCTCTGGGACACTGAGGAGCTGGCCTGCGGCCCCAGCCAGGGGCCCACAGGGTCCTAGGTCCCCTCCGTCCTCAACAAGGGCAGGGCCCGTCCGCACACGTGGCGAGGCACCCCGCGCTTGGTCTCCGCAGGCCCAGCGTGCCGCCCGGGCCAGAACACACATCAGGCCTGCCTCCTCCGGCCCCCCACCCACGGAGCCACCTGCGACGGCCCTCCCTGTGTCCCCAGCTGGGCGGGCACCCGGCAGCGGCCTCGGCCTGCCCAGCGCACAAGGACTCGCGCTTAAACAGAAGGACAGTGGCGACGGGGTCGCGAGGGACGAGGGAGAGACGTCGGGTGGTCCAAGCAGGCGTCTGTCTGCTGTTTGAAGCGCCCGCCCCGGGTCCTGGGGTACAGTGTCAACTGCTGGACAGGCGGGGGGTGAGCCGGGGCATGGGAGCAGCAGATAGGGAGACCGGCGCCCCTGCAGGGGCCCGAGCTGAGCCCAGGGACCGCGCCTTCCAGGAGCGGCTGGGAGACTGCGGAGCCTGGCGCTGGGGAACGCCAGGAGGGGCCTGGGTGACGCAGCAAACACGGGTACCTCTCTGGGATACCCCAGCCTTGCCTCGAGCTTTGCCTTCTTCCAAAGGGGATGGGGGGACGAGAGGCAGTGGAGTCCAGGAGGGGCCGCAGACACAGAGGCCCCTGGGACGTGGCGAGGGCAAGGCCCGCAGCGCTGCCTCGAAATGCTGGCTTTAGAGCGTGGAGCACGGCAACAGGTCGCTCACGCCCTGGGCTCTGGGGGGTTTATTCTCACCAAGGCCGAGTGGCCTGTGAAAAGCTGACAGCACCCACTCCGAGCTGACACCTGGGACACGCTGAGGGCAGAGGTGCTCGACAGGAAAGGGAGACACGAAATCTCGTGCCCGCGTAGATCTGGAGCACACTGCTCAAGCTCAGTGCACGCACGCAGTACATGTGGGAGGAGAGATCGCTAACCACGGTTAGCGCCTTTCTGTCAGCTAAAGAAGCGAAAGGAGCTAGGAGACAATCGCAGGGACCCGCTTCGCCAGCGGAAGGCCTGGGCCATAGGCCGAGCACCGTCCGCCCGTGGTCCTGTGGCTGGCGAGCGGCGGCCACACCGGCGCCAACGCCGGGCCCGAGTGCACATCAGAACTCAGCCGCCGTGGCCCATAGGAGGGGCCCGTTCGTCTGGCCCCGGAACCGCGCCGAGCCCACGCCCACCTCCTCCCCAGGGCGGGCGGCCTGTTTACCCCGGGGAAAGGGCACCCCACTCATGGAGCCGATAACGCAACCGCCTCTCCTCCCTGCTCCCCTAACAAAGCGGAGCCTCGAGATGGCCCTGGGCGAGCAGGGTGCCGACTTACCCGAGCTAGGCACGTGGTTCACGCGGGCGGGGTT